CTTCTGTCCTGTGTTCGTAGTGGACATCCTTTTGAATCCAGAAGCCTCTGTTTACTCAAAGAGCCCCAAGACAAATGATCTGATTCTTTTCACTTGATAATAGTTTCTGAAGACAGTATATACCTTCATCACAGGATTCTGCTTTTTAATTTATTAGCAACCATTTAGGGAGTATCTAATATGACGTGAGCTATGCTGGGCTTGGTAAAAAGTTAAAATCAGTGTATTCGCATTTCATAAAAATGTATGCAGATTTTTAAGTGGATATTTTCAAAAGCTTAATTTTATGCACAGAATTTAAAATGATGCAAATCACCCCACATTTTAAAAGTCTGTCAAGAGCCACATAATTTGAAAGCTGGCAGGCTGAATGTATTTTAGCGGAATGACTCGGTTCCTGCACGTTGGCACCGGTGTGCCCGGGCAAGATGCCCTAGCCGGCGTCGGCAGTGGCCATGGCTCCCACGCTCCTCTCCTCCCACTAGGATTTGGCAGACAACTTTTGTGACCCCGACACTGTCATTCTGGGACCACTTGGGTGTGCAAGCTGAACATGGCACGAAGCCCTTGAGTTTCAGTCTGTATTTTAGCTTTCATAGGTTTGAGGCTTATTCAGACACACCGACTTTGGAAATCTTCGATGTCCAAACATTCCATTAGAAGTTAAAACATCTTTGTATCCTATGTTAAAAAACAAAATTCAACTTTAAATTGTAAAGATATCATTGGCTTTCTTCAATGATTCATGAATTGAACAACATCCTCTCTAGCAGATAGAAAGTGATGTAGGAAAGATGTTAGGGTTCGAAATCGATGGCCAAGAAAGAATTCTTGAGACGTCTTTTGTGCAAAGGTGATTTTATTAAAGCGCGGGGACAGGACCCATGGGCAGAAAGAGCTGCAGTGGGGTGGTGAGGAGTGGCCCATGATATACTTTCCGGTTAGGAGGGCGTTAGGGATAGTGTAAGCCTTTAAGGAATTTTGGAAGCAAGCTTTCCAGAACTATAAAGGGTCTAGCGATTGTAGGGAAAATGTCATTTGTTATTGTCTAATAAAACCTTAGTCAGGAGACCCTTCAGAGGTATATCGGTGGACCATATGCTTGGGGGATGATTGCCAAAACTTATCTTGGGGGGGTTTAGAGATAAAGGAAGTTTCCAAAGAAATTTTTATACATTAATTTTAAACATTTTTATACTTACAGGATCCTGGGTGGGGGGTGGGGGGGTAGGGGTCATGGTTTTGGGCTAGGATTGCCTTTTGACCTTAGCAAAGTATTAACGTTGAAGTAGTTGAGTCCCTAGAGGAATGTCACCCTGCCTATTTTAAGGACTTGTCAGGGGGATCTAGGTAGTAAGGAAATTTAATAATTTTTCTTCTGCCTTTGTTTCCCATATCAGAGAGGAGTTCCAAGGAACTGTACAAAGTAGATTTTTCAGGCAGAAGGGGACAGGGACAAGCAAAGAATGGGTTGTTTTGGTCACCTTTGTTAGGGGGATGGCAGGGATCCAGCAGTCAGATTACCTCACAAATGCTCACCAGGAAATTCCAGACTGACTGGCGGAGATTGCGCTCCTGGGAGAGGTTGAAACTGCAGCTAGGCCAGGTATTAAGTCTGGGTTTGCTGATGTGGGGCTGAGCACATACGACTCCGTTTTGAGCCTTTCTCTTTTATAATATTTGTAACAGTAACGTCATCCCTCACATGTATTGAACACTTATCATGTCCCAGGAGCTGTTGTAATGCTGACAACTCAGTGGGATGTAAGTATTATTATTACCCCCCTTAAAACACCTTGATATATGGAGGCTAAGTCACTCAGCAACTGCGTGGGTGCCGGGACTCATGAGTAGGCGAGCTGGTGTGGACCCTACCCTTCCCCCATTGCCACAGTCCTCTGACACAAGACCCACCCTAGCATTCTCTCAGCCAGACATGAGGATCTCACCCCAAAATCATCAGCTTTGGAAGTAGTTGGATCTCGTAAATGATACAAAAAAGGCAAGACAAACCACCACAAAATGCTCTCCAAAATCTATTCCCTCTTTCCTGTTACTGCTAGAAAATTAGTCTTCCATGGTGTTAACTTTGAAAAATGGATCATCCCTTCACAGGGCATCAGTCCTGACCTCAAGGAACTTACAATCACATTTAGAGGAGCCCTTACCCTTTAATGGATGGTTCGGATATGCTGGGGACCACACTATGCCCTCATTCACATTCTCCTTCCCCCTCCCGCTAGCTCTAGATGGTACATGTTCTGGACTCCAGTCCCGCCTTCGAGTTGGCAGACTGGTTATTCCAAATTCCTACTCTCAGACTCCCTCCCTAACCTAACTTCACATCTTTTTGAGCCCAAATACTCACCTTTCAGGCTTCCCATCTCATTTTATAGAGTTAATAATAGTGTAAATACTATTTGTGCTCGGGATGTAACTAGTTCGGGCAGTCATTCCCCAAAACATGAGGTTGTAGGTAAACAGACAAGAGCCCTTATACCCATGAGAACTCAAAGCCAGGCAGGGGACTGGTCACCCAGCACACTGGCAGCAGACCTTTCCCGCCTGCCATGGGAGGACTCAACTTTGTCACGTAGAACCTATTCTCCATTAAGTCCTGCCCATCCTTCGAGAAACCTGGCTTTCACCTCCCTTCAAGCAGATAGTTTGATTTAAATAGGAACACAGTTAACTGAATTAAAAAACTAGAGATAGAATAAAGCCTCGTGTGTTCAAGCATGCAGCACATAGCGCAAGGTCCCCACCTGTCGTTGGAACCTGAAGGCCACCTTGTTCATTGAACTGACCCATGGGCCCCATCTTCCAGGGCCCGGAATCCTGAGAAGCAGTGCTGTTTGGTGCTGGTATAAGCACACCTTAGACAGATTTCCAGGTGTACCCCTTGGCATTCAAGGAAGTGTAATTCTGCTTCCAGAATTACAGTGTGGAAAATGTTCTTGCTGGGGAGCACAGTCATTCTTTGACAATTTTAATGCCTTTGGCCTTTATTTGTACATCACAGAAATCTATTCACCATCCCTTCACATCTCTGTACTTCCAAAACATAGGACTCGTTAACGGTGTCCTTTGAGAGTCCTGCTTTGAGGTCTGAATCCCTCTGAGCAGATAGGGTTAACTCCTCATTGCCCAGGAGAGCCCTGGGTGGTCTTGACTCTGCGGCCTTGACCTCAGACACTAGGGACGCTTCTGCCCACTGGGTCTTCAGGGCTTGCTTTGTACATGCTCCTTGTCCAACCTGACACCTTCATTAAGGAACAGTCACATTTGTAAACATGCTGGCTTTTCCGAGAAGATGTGAAGTTCTGCTTCAAAACCGGCAGCCCTGCATACTGTTGGCTGATCTACACGGAGGGAGATAACCTATTTACATACTAAAAAGGTCAGTGTTGGACAATCAGCATTTAGAGATGAATTTGCTGCTGCTTGCAACTGGAGCATAAGAATTTGGGAGAAGGCCGCAATTTTGCTGTCTCTCTATCTGTGCAGACAGCAGGCATCGGGAAATATGCAGGATGTCTGCACCCAGCACTCAGGGTGGTGATGAATGGGCTTCATCCTGGTTTGGAACCTCTGATTACGAGAGCGTGTGTGACCGTGCGACCATGCCAGGTGCAGGTCAGCCTCACCTACTGAAAACTATACAGAAATATTTGCATAATAGCTTTTCAGGCTCTGTTAGTAAAACATAAACCATCATAATAGAGATTAAATTATGTGGCTACTGCTTCCTTGTCATTTGCACTGGGAAAGGTAGACTTCTAGAAGGCTCAAAACAATTTTTTATGGTCTTCTCAAAGTATTTTAGAATAGCAGTTGCTTTATTTTGTTCATGTGTGTTGAAAGCATCTTAAAAAAATGACAGTACAAAGGCATGAGTTGGGTTTTCTCTGAAATCTTTGTAATGTTTTTGTTCCTTATCCATTTATACATTCAAAGCAAAATAACTAGGGAATTGAATTGAGATCTCTGGCTCCATCTCAATGTTGGGATAGAACTTAAGAGTCAAGTCACTCTGGAAGGGGGAAAACCAGTTCCGTAAGCCCAGGGACAAGTAAGAGGCAGGAGGGAGGCCTTACCCCTTAGTGAGAGCAGCCAATCCTGAGCCAGCAAGCAGCCGCTGCCCTCCAGGTCTTAGAACCAGAGCTCATTCAGAGCTCTTGCTCTGAAAAGAGTGTCCATTTAAGAGTTCCAATGTCGGATTGGGGAGGGTATGTGCTATGGTGAGTGCGGTGAAGTGTGTAAACCTGGCGATTCACAGACCTGTACCCCTGGGGAAAAAAATATATGTTTATAAAAAATAAAAAAAAATTTAAAAAAAAAAAAGAGTTCCAATGTCGGGACAGTCACATCTCAGCTGCAGCTGCTTCCTGCAAGTCCCGAGAGGTCATCATATCCCGGTGGGAGCTAGCTCAGCAGCTGCCACCCACATTCCCACAGAGACCCTGTGCTGCATTCCACATCAGTGTCCCCCAGGGGACCTGTGAAGCCACATGTGGACCTGAGCTCATTGTGTCTTTGGAGGCATATGAAGCAGCTTCGAGGAAGAAGTTGTTCTTTGTGGCCACTCATGTCCCAGATGGGTCGGTGGGCCAATCTGCTTAACAGCCACGTTCTGCAAGGCTCTGTGCTTCCTCTGACCTCTGATCTGGGGGGAGAGAAGCCAGTGGCAGTGACAGGCTAGCTCTTGGTTGGCATCAAACAATGTCTCCCAGAGATTATTTGACCTTGCTTCGCAAATAGCCGGAGTCATCTGGGCCTTATATAACATCTGTTTCTCCTGACAGTTGCTTTGAAACAGAACAGTGGCATGTTCTGTGCTTGGGGACGCCTCCTGGCAGCGATGCCAAGGGACTGGAACACCAGGGTCCCCGCTGAGTGTGCACCTGTCCTATCCTGGCCCCTGGGAAGAGGGGCTGACCTAAGTGTTACTCCCTAATTGGCCCCATGTGTGTGTTTGACCCACCCTGCCTCTCTTCCAGAATACTCGGCTGAGCAGACACAGCAGGCGCTGCACCAGTCCATCTTCATGTCCTCAGTGTCGGCCCACCCCTTCCGGGACCTTCCCCTGGGCAGGGAGCAGCACTGCAAGCTCCTCCCGGGCGTGGCCAACATCCAGGCCAGCGAGGTGGCCCGATGGACAGTGGATGAGGTGAGCGGGGCAGCTCTGGGGCGTGGAGGGACTGGGCCCAGCTGCGGGGAGTTTCTCTTAGGCACAGAATCCACGGCATCAAATTTTAGATCCACACTTCAGGGACAAGGCAGGGCTGATTTTGAGGGAATTAGGACAGCCCAGTTGGTTTTGGCCCCCACTCCCCACTGGTACCCCAGAACCACCTCTGCTCTCTGTCACCATCGGCCCAGCACCACTTTGGGTAGAGCAGCCTAAACCTCTGGTCCCACATCACAGATTTACTCTGGGGAAGCGCGTGAGCATCTTAGACTTGCCTCCAGGCAGCCCCTGCCTGAAGCAGCATCCTGTCTGGGGAGCAACCCCTGGGGGGGGGTGCTTCTGCAGGGCCCCAGAGGACAAACTGCTTCTCATTATGAAGCGGCTCTGGGCCACTGTTTGTCCACTTGAAGCCACAGATGAACAGTTAACCTTAGGTTTGTCTTTAAAGTGAATTAGACCACAACACAGCGTAAGATGCTGAACCCGTGGGAAAACGGATCCAACTTTCATACCACATGCCTTACAGTGTTGGTTTTTAATAAGGACCAGGTAAGTCCCGTTGCTTGCTCTAATGCTATAGAAATGCTGCATATATAAAGCAGTTTTCTTTTAAGGAATACACTCTTTGACATTTCTTTTGATAAAGGTATTATTTCCACTAGTCAGGCCCTAATTAATTTTTTTAAATGAAGGAAACCCCTGGGTCACTCAGAGGACAAGGTAACCGCAGAGCTGGAGTTAAATTAGTCACAAAATGTTCATTGAGCACTTTCCACAGTCAGCTTGACTTAACGTTGGTTCAGGCCCTCCTTTCCAGCCTGGGACCAGGAGCAGGTGACAAAGGCCAGGCTGAGCTGGAGGTTCAGGGCAAGCCTGCTCTGTCCCCCTCCTCGCTGGCCCCTCACAGAATCTGCCTGGTGCATCACCCTGCCCGGCCCTCCTCGCCCAGAGCGACAAGGGCTGACACCCTTCTGTCCGCACACCCTGCGGCTCCACCTCTCCTTGCACTCTTTCCAAGTAAGTGTGACCGCAGAGTGCTGGTCACAGAGCCTTGACTGAATATACCCGTGGTGATGAAGTGTGATCCCAGGTCTGCCCCTGCCCCTCGCTGAGGAATTCTGACCAGTCTACAGAGCGTGAAGTGGCTTCATGACCAAGCCAACTGAGCTAAGCCCTGATGTGTCTGTAGTCCGGTCATGTATGGCTTTGGCCTTTGAACAGCAGGCACATTGTGGGGATCTCAGGGGCAAGTCATTTGTTCCTGACTTTCAAGCCATTCACTCGAGGTTCTACTAACTTTTAAGTTAGACTGACAGTGGCTTCTCTTCCCTCACATCATCACCAACATGCTTAGAAAGATGTCTTGTGGGGGAGGCAGCCACCTGAATCCAGCCCCAGCCCTCTGTGCACAGAGCAGCTGAGTCCTGAGAGTGGATGAACGAGGTAGAGACACAGACTTCTGGGTGTGTCTCTGCCTACCTGCACATAGTCCCAGGCTCCCCAAAGTCCTTGGCATGCCTTAGGACCTGCACGGGCAGTCCTCCCTGCCTTTCCAGCCCTACCTCCCACCATGCCCCCCATGGGCTTCTCACCCTGGGCTACAGTCCCCACATGGGGTCCTCACACTGGCACGGTTGCTACGGTTGCTACCCCGGCCTCAGGTGGCCCTGCCTGCTCTGCCCACGGTCAGTTCTGGCCATCAGCACACTTCCCTCTGGCAGGAGACTCTCTGTGCTCCCATCTCCTCAGAGAGTCTTCGTCACTGGCCTACACTCGCTCCTCTGCCCCTCACCAGATGAGAGACCTTATTTCACTCACTTGGCATGTATCTGGAGAACTTCTCACTGCACCTGGCACTTAGTAGACAACCCAGGAATGTTTGTTGAATGATGTTGCATGACAAGGGCATCATGAGCTGGATTTTGAAACAAAAGTGGGACACGTCCAAGCAGAGCAAAGAAGGGCAGCCATTCCAGTCAAAGAGAAAAATAGAAGGTCATCTGGAAGTGAGTATGACGGATACACGGATGGCAGATGTCTGGCACATCCTTTACTAACATCGATAATGACGATGAACAGGCAGAGCCACGCACCCTGGGGCACAGACGGAAGTGCGCCAGGATGGGGAATGTGTGCTGGGTGTGAGGCTGGACACCGGCATGCGTGTCCATCAGCCGGCAGCATGAGCCACGTGAGGCGCTCACACAGAAAGTCTCCTGTGCAAATGCTGCTTCGAGGGGAGGAGAATGGCACCGTCTGTGGAGAAGTACATGTGAGAAGAGGCAGAGGCGAGGGACCGGCCGGGGAGCACCACCACATTCCTGGTGTGGAGTCATCCAGGTCTGCACTGGGCGCTGCCAGAAGAACCCCCCGAAGTCGAGGTCGGCAGCCGTCTTCAAGCTGAAAGAACACAACGCAGTGAACCAGATCAGACACTGAAGGTGAAGAACGGAAATGAGCCAAACATGACTCCATGCGCAGTCTCAGCCCCACGCAGTTTGGGACCCAGGGAGACACTATGCGAGCTAGAGCACGCATCTGGAAGAATGGGGAAGTAGTGGTGCCACCAAACGGAATGAAACTTTGGAGGAAAGAACCCAGTTTGGGGGCAGGAGGAGAAGATGGTGAATTTCCTATGGGACTCCTTGAGGGAGGGGCCCCTGCAGATGATGTCACAGCAGCGAATGCACACCATCTGTTCCTGGGGCAGAAATACCGCCTGGGATGTCACTAATGGATGGGGGAGCTGAGTGAGCTTTCACCAAGGACACGTCTGTCCAGGGAGAGCCTCCGAGGACAGAGAGGGGACCACAGTTGGAGAGAGAGTCCACAACAGAGACGTGTCAGTGGGAGGCAGGGGGCAAGTGTTCCATTCAGCAGGGCACCGGCCAGATGTAGCCCAGGGCTCCTGGATGGGGCTGTGGAACTAAGTTTCCAGGGATTTGGAAAAAATGTGGAAAATGTGTGTATTCCTCGCCTTAAGAGAAGGGTCAGGCCTTTGTCTCAAGAGGACCATCGTCCAAAAAGAGCAGAACCTCTGTTTTAGGAGCATTAAGCAGTGACAAGGAAGTTTAGGGGGTCTCTGATCTGATGAGTCCCAAGCCTGGCACTGCAGGAAATCGAGGGCTTGGGGGGTAATGAAAGACAGTGGTGATCATGCTGCGAGTCTCCCTGGAACAGGGAGGGGCTCACTGTGGGGGACACTGAGGGTGCCATCAAGGACTATTAGGCGGAAAGGTCACAGTCCCTGGAACCCCATGGTTCCCCAGCCCTTTATTGCTGAAAGAGGCCTTAGAATATTCTAGATTAAAAATAAGAACATCATCCCTGAGGCTGTCTTCATAAGCCACCCTGTTGTGATGCTTCCATAACCATGACTTCCTTCAAGGATGCATTCCAGAGAAAGTTTGGTTTATTCCCTCAAGTTAATATATCATAGTCTTGAAGTCTCCCTACCTAGATGCTCTTGAGGACAAGGAGCATGTCCTAAATTTCTTTCTGTATTCTCACACTCTTGTAGCACGTTTCCTGGAACCAACATAGGCCCCTCAAGAAGAATCTTGGATGGGATGAGACTATGGGCTTTGTGGTGACTCTATTTGTATCTTTGAGGATAAGGCAGCCCTCATATGGGGGTTTGCTTAGGGGGCATTCCAGTGAGTACCAACAATAGAGTTTGTGACTATTTTAGATGCCATATTAAAAATGGGACTAGGGCAGTGAGGATTTAAAAAGGCCATGCAGGGCAAGAGGAGACCAAGGGGGGTTGCTGTTCTTCTGTGTTTTGTTCTCATTAGGCAAAGTATTAGAGAGGAACCACAGGAGCCCAAGACAGGATGCATTGAAAATGGACTTGTGCGTCCTTGCGTTAAGTGCCATTCAGGGAGACTCAAGGCAGGAGTCTGTCTGCTGCCAAAGACAAAGAGCAAGAACATTGCCTTTTGTCTGCTCTCCTGGACTGGGAGGGAGACCTGCTCTCTGCATTCTGTTACTTGGGAAGAGAAGCCTGCTCAGAGCCATCGTAACATTGCCCAGAGCGTGGGAGCTGGCTTCTCACTCTTTTAGGCTGTTTCTATTGGAGCAGTGATTTTCAAAGCACAGGTAGGCTGTGAAGTTGATTTCGTGGTTCTAGAGTGAAAGACATGATGAGAGGAAAGACCATATCTATAGTAAGGGTGATTATTTTGCAAAACGTTGTTAGAAATGTGTGGGTGTGTGCAAACACTCCAGTCATGGTCAGTATGAATGAAGTGTATTTTGTACCCTGGGCCATGGAAATGTTCTGTAAAAGAGTATAAGCACTAAAGAGTAGGAACTAAAATATTTATATATCTCTTTATGTCATTATAATAGAGTATCTTGCCCAGAGTAGGTGTATGAGAAATGTGTGAGTGAATCAATGGGGAGGTGGATTTTATCTGGTACCCTCCCGCAGGTGTGCGCGGGCACGTGGTACCTACCAGGTGTGTGTGGGCACATGGTACCCTCCCGAAGGTGTGCATAGGCACGTGGTACCCTCCCACCAGGTGTGCGCGGGCACGTGGTACCTACCAGGTGTGTGTGGGCACATGGTACCCTCCTGAAGGTGTGCATAGGCACGTGGTACCCTCCTGCCAGGTGTGCATGGGCGCGTGAGGACAGGAGGCAGCGGGTTGTATGTTAGAACCACAGGTGTGGCTCATGTATGCTAAGGGCACATATGGGTGCTTTTACTCCTTATGATCAGAAACGCTTTTTAAAGCAGCACATATAAATTGCCAGAGCCTCAACCAATTTCTCCCCAAATGTCCATTAACTTTAAAAGATGGCGGCCACTTTAAAAGCAATCTTTACACAGGAGGGAGTGTTTTGAAAAATTCAGGATACTGCTAACTAAGCATAGCAGCCTTATACAAGCAGGCCCTTAAGAAAGGGCAGATAACAAATTCCACTGTTAAAAAATGAGACCCAGGCTGGAAACACGGTCCCCAGTGGACTTGGAGCCAGGGCAATCAGGCACACAGCTCCAGGCTCAGCAAGATCGAGAACACCACCGTTCGGAAAGATTTAAGGGCGCAGCAACCCCACGGAAGCAAACAGGCCTGCTGAGCTCCGAGAGGATGCCAGGAAAAGTAGGTCGCTGAGGGAAGTAAGTTGGGAAAAGTAATGGGCTCATCCAAGAGTTGGCACAGGGTCATTGTTCTTAGTCTTTCCAAAGTGCTGTGTCATCCCCAGGATTAACCTACTCAGTGGCTTTCCAAGACAAAGCTGGGGCTTTCTCTGTGGGACACCCCACTCCTGAGAACTCAGGGAACCGGACATCAGGCAGCTTCCACACCAGCTGTGCTGCTGGGAGACAAGGCAGAAGTTGGCCTACCTCAGGCCCCAACAATGATGCCATCACCTGAGACCAGCAGACGCGTCCATATAGCCATCTTGGATTCGGGCAAACAGATGGTAGCTTCCTGCTTCCTAGAGCTCATGCCTGTCTGAACAGTTCACATTTACCACAGACTTGGAGAGATAAAGAGATTTTTAAGAGGAGGATGAGAGGCAAGCTTTCTGATAGTACTACTCTATGCTATGTTCAAGCTCACCACTTTCCGTTTAAAATATGTAGCAAAATGGGCTTTCTATTAAACCTCAAAATAAAATTTATTCTTACACGGAATAAATACTAACAGTACTGAATAATGAGACTGAATAATGATCAAGGCCTTTAGATATTTTTAAATTCTGGCCAGAAAATCAGCCTCAGTAGATTCCATGGAACTTGTTTTTGACTTTGGAAAAGGACAGACTGAAAAATGCAGAACCTCTTTCCAAAGAAGCAGAGGATTTCGGGCCAGTGGTTCAGCAATGGAGATGAGGCTGTGCTGTCTGAAGGAGGTGGGACAGGGAGGGGCTGCACCTGGGGCCCGGCTGGGGCCACCCAACTCCCCAGTGATGCTCCACTTCCGCTCTGACAAGTTCATTATTCCTGTTAAAAACCCTGTTTACCTCCACATGGACAGTGACTCCTTGGCTAGCAGGAGAGGGAATGTGATTCTTTCCTTTGTGCCCAGAAAAGGACATTCTAACCCATGCAGACCATCAAAGCAACACACACCACTTTTGCTGCAAATGGAAGTTCCTGGAACGTGTATTTTGAGAAGACTCTCTCCCAAAGCTCTTCTCCTTGTGGGGAACCCGGGCTCCTCATTGCTGGCTTGGCTTTCCCACAGGAGCTGACTGAGCTATGACAAAATGTATGTCTTCTGCTAATTCCTAGTCCTGCTTTTTTATTTCTAATTGTCCTGTTGTGACATTCAGCTTCTTGCCCTGTGAAAGAGCCATCTCAGGAAAACCTGCCTGTAGAGCAGTGGCTTTAGACCAGAAAGACATGCGCAACAACCGGACACGTTTTTGGTTGTCACAACATGGGGGTGGGGGTGCAAGTGGCACATGGCGAATGGAGGCAGTGTGGCTGCGAAACAGACTGCGACACACAGGATGCCCAGCGGCAAAGAGTGTTCAGTCCACGCCCGTCAGTAGTGCCACACCTGCCCTCCAGCAGTTCTCCTGGACTCTGCTCTGATTCCTTTTGTCCCACACCCAGCCTGTGGGCAGGTCTCAGGATTGGACCTGCCATGCCTCCTGCCTCCAGCTCTGAGCTCTGCCCCATGCAGTGTCCAGGCCCTGGGGCCCCCCACCAGACAGCCGCAGGTGTCTCCCAGTGACATCCTACCCAGTGCCCCCCCACGCTGCTAGATCACCTCTCAAGCTCTCTTGTGCTGGGTCCTCAGTACTGCCTGCACGTGAGCACCATCCAGGGAATCTAGAAATGCATGCCCAGCACGTGGACCGGATCCAGCCTCATGACTTTGGCGTCCCTGTGGCCTGAGCCTCACTGTCATTCCTGTGTTAAGCTGTCCAGGGGATTCCATGGTCCGGCCAAGAGAGCAAACAGCCCCTCCAGGGCTCCTTGCTGCCCATACCAAGAAACCACATGGCGACCCCATCACTCCCATCTTTTTCCACAGCTCCCCTTCTGCTCCGCAGTTCTAGCCACATGGGACTCCTCCCTGCTGATACCATGTGTGTCATGCGTCCTGCTTATGGCTTTGCTGAGACGCTCTGTGCCCAGAAGGTCTTCTCCGCTCGCCACCCCCCAAATCGCCCCCAGTGGAAACATGTCACCCAACAGTGCCTGTATCAGCCTCCACCTCCCTTTTGATCCCTTTCCCGGGTTCCCGTCTGAGATGCTATCTATCCGTGCTAGAAGCCTATAGTCTTTCCGCTTCTCTTCTAGAACTTAGCACATCTGAGCATGTATCAGTGTGATGAGTAAGGCAGCCTTAACTTGCAATTTTCCATTTATCCTCCCACCTCTGATCAAACCGTAAATGCATTGGAAGTTCCCACTTGACCTGCTCACAGATCCTGCTTCCCAGCGCCCAGCAGGGGCCTCGCCCAGCAGGAGCTAGGGTGGGGGTGGGGGTCCCTGGCCAGAGAGCAGCCTCGGGAGCAAGGGGACTGCACCCCCTCCTAGTGTCCCAGGCCTTAGAAGCTCTCTGTGAGCTCCTGCTGCCACCCACCCAGTTATGTGTCTCCGCAGCTTGACCAGCAGCATTCCCACGCCTGCCTCAGCTCCGTGATTTCAGCCACCTGAAAAGAGCAAATTAGGTACCTCATCAGAAGAGCACCAGGCACTTGAGCGAAGCCCCTCGAAGCACTAATGCCTCCCAGGTGCTCCCAGGCCCAAGGATGCCATTGTGTGGTTTGGGAAGATTTTCTTTCTTTTTTTTTTTTTTTTAATTCTCATCATCCCGCACTTTGGAAGGATGACTGTAATGACTCATGATAAAACATACTTGCAGCATCCGAGGTGAGGAAAGCAGACACTGACATGCTGACGGCCCCTAAAAAGTAGTTCTGGAATCCTCGTATTCAATATAGCTGTGAATCAGGGGTGTGCGTGCAGGGGGCGGGGCCTGGGTTTGCGTTGGGGGTGTCAGTTCTTTGCCGCTTCGGAAGCGGGAGATCAGCGAGGCCGCGGTGCTCTCTTCTGCCAAGTGTGGGGAGGGTGAGTGTCCACTGTCCTCTCCCTTCAGGGAGCCGGGGACTCCCAGGCCTCTTGGATTGTAGAACATGTTGATACCAGGGCCTGCGCTCCCTGCCTTCCCAGGGGCCTTCTCCTTCAGAGGAGAGAGGGAAGGTTCTCGTGCTCCCTTCTCGGTTGGCACAAGGCGCAGACAGCGTGCGAAGACAGCTGCTCTTACAAACATCATCTCCCAGGTTTTGTCATTGCTGCCTCCTGGGTTGCCTTTCCTCTGCGCCGCAGCCATGCCAGACCTTGCGTGAAGGGGCCGGAATCCCCTTGTCATTGGTCGTTGAGAGTCTAAGCTTTATCATGTTTGTTCACTTGGCTCCCTGGTAGCATCGCTGGGACACTCATGGCTTCCTGCTCCTCCAGCCAGGTGCTGCTCTGGTCTAATTAGAAGGAAACTGGGCCGTGTGGCTGGGGAGGGAGGCGGGGAAAGAGAGGGAAATGAAGCTGAAGAGGTGATTCTCCAGAACTCCTGGCCTGGAGTCTGAAACCCTGAGTTCCAGAACCATCCCTGGCACTTCCTGGCCATGCGTGACCTTCAGAGAGTCATTGAGCCTCTTTGGGCTTTAGCTTGATTGTCACCGGTGAGGGAATTCGGTCAGCAGAGGTCCCTGGAATCCCTGTGAGACTCAGATGGGGCCTCAGAGCCACTGAAGGGCCAGGTGCCCAGTCCTTTTCTCTGGCAGTCACTGTGGAGACTGTTACTCTCGGGCCATGCCCTCCTGCCTTCCTGATTCCACAGGGAGGACATGAGGATCAGATGAGAGAAGATTCCAGAATGCTGGCACGGCACCACGGAAACTGTCATTGCCATCACAACGGTAACCCTGTGTAGGTCATCTGGGCAGTAAGAGGCCAGAAGAGACTGGGGCTGGGCTAATTGCTGAGCTGGTACAGGCTAATGGGCCTTGATAGTTCCTATTTCAGTTCCAAGAGTTTGAGGGATTTGCAGTATATTTTACTCAAATAATGAGTTACTACAACCCAAGAAATTATTTCAGGTGCGTGTTGTAAATCAGGCTTTTCATCTTGCACCGTAGGTGGCTGAATTTGTACAGTCTCTCCTGGGCTGTGAGGAACATGCCAAGTGCTTCAAGAAAGAGGTAAGAAATGCAAAAATTATATGTCTTTCCATAGTCTGGTCCCTGAAGAGCTTTGTTTTCATTGACTTGAGCGTAACTGAGAGCAGCTGGTGGGCCAGAGAGAGGGCTTGGGGAGGGATAGAGCCCAGCAGGGCAGTCGGGCCTGGCAGGGTCAGCCTCTGTCCTTGTCCTGCCTGTGCTGAGCTGTGCGTTGTCACAGAACACTCTGGTGCCTGGCGCATGGGGCCTGCTTGAGAAATAGACTCTTTCTTTTCTTTTCTTTTCTTTTTTTTTTTTTTAAGATTTTGTTTATTTATTTGACAGAGAGAGATCACAAGTAGGCAGAGAGAGAGGCAGAGAGAGAGAGGAAGGGAAGCAGGCTCCCCGCCTAGCAGAGAGCCCGATGCGGGGCTCGATCCCAGGACCCTGAGATCATGACCTGAGCCGAAGGCAGAGGCCTTAACCCACTGAGCCACCCAGGTGCCCCGAGAAATAGACTCTTTGGGGGAAGAATAAATGAACGCATCAGGCAACCCTTATGGGTGCTGTTTAGGCTCTGCTGTGATGACTTCATGCTTCACTAGGGGCAGGAGGGGTCCTGCAAGGAGCCTGTGCCCAGGGAGGAGAGGGAATTTGTCTACCCCAGGGTGACAGTGGGACCATCCTGTGTGTCCCTGCTCTGTACCAGCTTCAAGAGGAATACAGATAAGCCAAAGAGCCCTTCTGTGGGGTTTCTGTTTCCTACTCCATGTTAGTTGGGAATGTCTCAAACTGCTTAATATTTGTCCTGGAATTAGTAGCCATAGCACTAGGGGCCCCAGAAGAGACTGGATCAGCTATAGAGTAATAGTGAAACTATGGTGGTTCCTGTTTATTGTGGACTTGCCCTGTGCTGGGCCATGCTGAGCACTTTATAGTTGTTTTCCTGGGTCCTCCAACAAGCAGTGAGGAGGCTAGTGCATAGCAGGAAAAGGGCAGCAGATTCCAGCCTCTGTTCATGATGACTCCATCACCATTGCTCTAGAAGTCTGCAAGAAAACTCTTCCTAGAGCCTCCAGTGTGTAGCACACACCCTCCCACTCCAGCGGTCGAGACATGCTTGGTTCAGGGGAAGTACTCTTGGAGTTTGGGGTCCTGGGCTCCTCAGAACCCAACAAGTCCTGCATCTCCAGGGAACTCAGCATCAGGGTCAGTCAGGTAGCAGTTTGGGTAGCTGCCCGTTGAGACGTGATGGTAACCTGCTCTCCCCTGAGCCCAGCACTGCTCAGGAGTAGCTAGCCTGGCCTCGCACGTTTGAGCCGCGCTCTGCTTCAAGCAGTGCCCAAGACCCACCTTGTCCACAGGTGTCTGTAGATCAGGTGACTCCAGCTTGGCTCTTATGACCAGCGGTCCCCTGGTAGACAGAACACTGACCCTGTCTCATGTCTCTGTAAAACACAGACTTCCAAGAGGAGACTTTAAAGCTCGGGGTTAGCATGTTTCGGCACCTTAGAAAGTTCTTCAGGTATTCCGTTCTCCAAATGGACGATTCTTCAACAGACATGATCATAAATGCACAAGAAGGTTTTGGGGTTGTTTTTTTTTTTTACCTTTTTTTTTACTAACATATAATGTATTATTTGCCCCAGGGGTACAGGTCTGTGAATCACCAGGTTTCACACTTCACAGCACTCACCATAGCACATACCCTCCCCAATGTCCATAACCCCACCACCTTCTCCCTAACCCCCTTCCCCCAGCAACCCTGTTTGCAACCCTGTTTTGTGAGCTTTAAGAATCTCTTATGGTTTGTCTCCCTCCCGATCCTATCTTGTTTCATTTTTTCCTCCCTTACCCCCGACAACCCTCTGCACTGCCTCTCAAATTCCTTATATCAGAAACATCATATGATAATTATCTTTCTCTGATCGACTTATTTCACTCAGCATAATACCCTCTAGTTCCATCCACATCATTGCAAATGACAAGATTTTATTTCTTTTGATGGCTGCGTAGTATTCCATTGTATATATATACCACTTCTTCTTTATCCATTCATCTGTTGATGGACATCTAGGTTCTTCCATAGTTTGGCTATTGTGGACATTGCTGCTATAAACATTTGGGTGCACGTGCCCCTTCTGATCACTACATTTGTATCTTTAGGGTAAATACCCAGTAGTGCGATTGCTGGGTCATAGGGTAGCTCTGTTTTCAACTTTCTGAGGAACCTCCATACTGTTTTCCAGTGGCTGCACCATCTTGCATTCCCACCAATAGTGTAACAGGGTTCCCCTTTCTCCACATCCTCGCCAACATCACAGGAAGCTTTTTACAACTTTCTTAACACTTTAAAACTTTAACTTTCCACTTTAATTTAGACTTACTTTCAAAACTTGGGTCCATGGGGGACGCTTATGTCTCAGTGAGTCATTGACATGAAGGGTCTGTACCAATTCAAAAAGGTTCAGGGAAGGAGGGTTACCATAAAAACCCTTTCATCCTGTCTTCTTGGTTCTAGAATCAGCAATCTTTCTGAGCCAGTCTGTTTAAATAGGTGATGTGGGTGTAGGACACATACACGGTCCCTGGGACTCAAACTGAGAGCAGACTGGGGCTTTTAGAAGCTGTGGAAATGGCCTGTTTGGTAGTCCCTCCCCATCCTGTGAGTCTCAGGGAAGCTACCACATGTCAGACCACCATGTTTTAAAAGTTAATAAATAAGGGGTGCTGGGTGGCTCAGTCAGTTAAGCAACCAATTCTTGATTTCTACTTGGGTCATGATCTCAGGGTCATGAGATTGAGCCCCACATGGGTATCTGCAATCAGTGGGGAGTCTATCTGTCCTTCTCCCTCTTTTGCCCCTCTCCCTCCTGCTCACACACTCTCTCTAAAATAAATATTTTCAAAAGTTAATAAAACATTTATTTTGTATATATTTCTGCTCATAATGGCATTTATCATAAAAAACTTTCAATGCATGTCAGTTAAAAGGAGAAAATAAAAATGAAACCACTATCCCACAAGCCAAATCTGACTTCACTTAATATTTGGTATAAAGTCTTTAAATATCTTCATTATATGTACATATATATGTGGTCACACAAGTTTAATGTTATGGAATGCAAAAGATATTTCTATATCATGTCATATTTTGTTGCTTAACAATTCATGAAAAATTTGCCAAATCATTATTTCATCAAGATGTGAATTTCAGTGACTGCCTCATACCCCAACCTAGATGATACCATAATCCTGCTATATTTGAAATCTTGGACTGTTTTCAATATTTCACTATTACAAATAACACTAGAGTGGATGCATTGCACTTTGTTCTCTTGGGGAAAATTCCTAGAGATTTACTTGGTGGATAAAAGTAGGGGTGTTTTTTTAAGGTTCATGATACAAATTCAGGCAAAGATTTTTTAAACATAACAGAAATTTCCCCTGTATGTTGAGTTCATATTTAACCGAGTCCTGGGTAAGAGCACGTGGTGGCTCAGCGGTCAGAGCTGGGTGGGAGAGGGTGCCGTCTTTCCCTGTAGTTGGAGAGCTCTGCAGGGAGGCGGACACCATTCAGTGTCCATCCCTACCCCCCACCCCCCGCCATGAGTCCCCAGAAGTCGCCAGAGGGTAAACAGTATGTGTTTATTTACTCGCAGCAGATCGATGGCAAAGCCTTCCTGCTTCTGACACAGACGGACATCGTCAAGGTGATGAAGATCAAACTGGGTCCAGCACTGAAGATTTATAATTCTATCCTCATGTTCAGGAATTCCCAGGACCTCACTGAAGAAGACGACTCTCTCTCAGGCCAAGAAGCCAGAGGATAAACACACCACCTGAACGGCCATGGCACCAGGACCTTGTTCTTGCAGCAATAAAACTGGCCCACATTAATTTGATTTGAATGTCCCCATGGTCATATCCATATTTAATTTGGACTTTGAAAGCAGCTGTGGTTTCGATGTGTAGAGGGTATGATGACTGATCCAGGGCCAAGGATGCAGGGGCCCGTGTGTGGTTTGGGGACATCTTTATCTTCGGCGGTGTCCTTCCAGCTCTGATGTGTTGCAACAAACAGACCAAAGAAGCCCACACATACACCTTCAGTTTTACTCCTTCACCATTAACTATTTTTCAAGCATAAAACTCCAAAGCGGTGAAATAGTAGAAAAACAGCATTCATAAATACATTGTTCATGTTTTCACCAGAACATCTGAGCTTGGCTCACATTTGCCATCTGGATGCAGTGAGTCTAGGAGATAGAGGCCTGGTGCTTTAGAAAGACTTCATGTGGGATTTTTATGTACTTTACTCAGGAAAGTGCGAGTCTTTAAAAAAATAATAATAAGCACATATTTTCATGATTCATCAATTCTCCTTTTTGTTCCATTAAGTGTTTCTTGTTTGTGCTCCCAGTGGCTCAAAGAGCACTTGGGGAACAGTCAGCCTGGGCAGGTAGCAGAAGCTGGCCAGACCCTCCCAAGGACCCCCTCACACACAGCAGCACCTGGTGGCCATCTGCATGAACATGGGTGACCCTTGTTCTGCCACTGAGGCAGGCCGGAGGGCCAGCCACCCACCCGCACCACTGAGGCAACCTCAGGAGAATAGGTAGCTGGCCCCGCTCCCCCTCTGAGCAGGTGTGATGAGGAGCCGTGTTATATCTTCATAGAGACAAACCATTAAAAGGGAAGTTCTCTGAAATAGGGAGCTTGGTGGCTATGATTTGTTTGAACAATTCTGATTTCTTGTCAGATCTTATTTGTTTTGTGTAAGTGACTATATCTGACACTTAAGAGGAATCAATCCTACAATTTTGAAAGACAATCCCCTTTTTTATACCCACAAAGTTACCCAGGCCCCCATGGAAGTGGAGAGCCCTTGTTTTGAGGGGAGGGGAGTTGTGGGGGGAGAAAAGAAACAGACCTCACCCATTTGCTTCATTAAGAATCTTATGGTTGAAGAAAGTTGATTCAGCTTGGAGAGATTCTCAAACTGTAGGTCACTGAAGAAAAACAATTCTTCTCTAAGAGGTATGCGTGTATTTCATTTTTTTTTTTTTTTAGATTTTCACCTAAATGGAATTTTAATATATTATTGGTTCATGTAAATTTTTATTTTCTGTGTTTTGTTTGCTGTTTGTTTTCTGGTTGTTTTGTTTTGTTTTAGACTGCCATGTACAATTTAATTCCTGCTTCTGCTGTGTTAAAATTTTAATATATTTTAAATGATAATAAACAGATAAAATAAAACCCCTACCTCTATGCCTTAATGAATATGTTGTAATAACCTGTTCCCACACCACAACCTGAAGGCTTTTTTCTCAGCCACGGTAGAACAGAGCATTGCGTGTGTTAGCCGGCAGAGAAGACGGCCTCGTTTGAGAACCTGAGATATGTTTCCTTAGGGAAGCAGATCCAGCTGTTAATAAGTTCAGAAATTAGGGGCACCTGGGTGGTTCAGTTGGTTAAAGCATATGACTCTTGATCTCAGCTCAGGTCTTGATCTCAGGGTCGTGAGTTCCAGCCCCGAGTTAGGCTCCATGTTGGATGTGGAGCCTACTTTAAAAAAAAAAAAAACTTGAGAAATTAAAATGGAGATTTTTAAATTAAAAAGACCCTCACAATTGCTCATTGTATAGGCTCCATGGAAGACCTGAGATGCATGTTTTGTATATTTAATACTTGTCATTTCAACAGAAGGATCTAAAACAGACCAGACAACACCAGGATAAATTGGGGTTGAAGTGTTCCTAGAAGACAGTGTGATCAGATAGAGCTTAATCCGGTATCTAGCCACCTGCTGGACACCCCAACTTGTCACCCAACATCTTCACCTTGCCATACTGGAATGGCACCTCAGATGGTCCTGTCCTTGCATCCTCACCTGAGTAACTACCATCATCAGTGAAGCTACCTGACTCAGGAAACCAAAACATCCAACTCTGTCCATCTCTCTTACACATTCTCCTACCAGCATGACCTCACTGAAGCTGGAGACCGACAGGGTGCGGGTGAGCTCCTGAGGGCTCCCTGCTGGCCCCACACACTGCCGGCTTCCACACCTCCCCCCCCCCCCCCTTCCTCCTCAGTCCCAGCGCTTCCCTCATGCTGCCCTCCTGTGCTGGACCTCCCCTGAGCTCCTTTCTTCCTCCCAACTCGCCCTCCTAGTGGGGCTCTCAGCCGGCCATAGGCTGATTCCTCTACCCCAGGTGTTGTCTCCCTGTTAGCCCTGCCTGGGAAGACCGACTGCAGCCCACCTCCCCATCATATTACTCCTCACTCGCCATCCTCACCACATGCTTGCTTCCCCCACTAGTCCACTACTACTACTCTGTGGGGACAGAGATGGCAGCAGGCTTGCCCCTCACTTCCACCCAGCACTTGATGTCGTACCTGGCACTTAATCCGCCCATAGTAAGGGGTTCTTGGTCTCCGTGAATGAGGCAAGCCCATCAAAGTCAACTTCAGATCCCAGTTCTGTCAATTCCTAAGTAGGCATCACTTGTCTGTAAAAAGAAAAGACCCACCCTAAGGAATTTTTTAACATCAGATCTTGTGGACGTGTGGATGTGAATGTAGCCCACACAACACACCTAAGGGGCCGGACACCCAATAGAGATGGTTCACTATAAGTCAGGAAAAGAGCAGCAACAGCCATTCAGTTCTCGAGCATTCTTCCAGGAATCCCCACACATATACTCCTGAAGTTTCCATCAATCCTGAGGACCCCAAAAGGCCCGCTCTTCTCAAGGTGGTTATCTGCTAGGGGGCCCAGAAGCAAGGGGAGCAGGCTCCGGGATGATCTCCACAGTACCACGCACCACTTCGACTCCCACATCTTCCCTCTCCTCACCCCATGCTCTCCAGACAGGCTGGAAACCTGACAAGTTGAAATCTTTCTCCCAGGAGGAGCCCCCCTCAGGAGTAAGACAGCATCCAGAAATGCCCCAGATGGTTTGAAGGCTTCGGCTACCCCCAGATACCACACTTAGTGTCTTACTGTCCTCTTTCCCAATTCCCACCTGGAATATGTGTGAGTTGGGGACAAAGCAAAACATTGCCAGTAGGACTTCAAGAAATACAAATTTCTGGGTTATTAGAAAGAGTTCCCCTAAAGGACCATTTGTACGACACATCGTAAGTACACATCATGGGGCTGGAAATTAGATCATTAGCAAGGATACTCAGGGAGCTTAGGACCTCTGAGACCATAGTCTTTGAATGCCTTTAATTTCGGATTCTTTTTCACAGAAATAAAATTCTCTACTTCCAACAACCCACAGTCCTCCCAAGAAAAAAATCTCTCCTTAATCATCTCTGAACGACTCTTTTCTCCTGGCCTACAATTAGATCCTGACCTTGGTTAACTCAAGTCCTAAACAGATTCCAAGATTGATGAAAGACGGACCCCTGATAACCCCAGGCTCTGAGTTGTGACCTCTTACCCTTGTGAGGGCTGACCTGAACATCACTGGCATCTTGGTGGAATTCTCTTTGTCTGTGGAATCTCCTTCTGTTGAGTGAGGGTTGGAGGCAGGGAAGTGTCGGGGAAAGTACTTGGGCTTCAGACTGAGGTCCGGCTTGAATCCTGACTCCTGTGCCCACTCCAGAAACATTTCTTAACCACCCAGCAAATGACCAACTGGCCGCAGTACTCATTCCTTTTGAAATACTGAGTTTCCACTGCATTACATTTTTTTCATATCATTTTAAAGAACACTCCATTTGTCTCTGCAACTCTCGGCACTGAAAAATATATTCTTGAATATGAAGTGTTCCTATGAATATATTCTTAATATTCAAGAACACATTCTTCATGAATACTTTTTCTTATAAGTTCTTCTTAAAAACTTACTCTCCTTATAAATATATTCATGAAAAATATATTTGTTAATAGACTCTTGAATATTCAGAATCCTTATAAATAAATTCTTATGAATAAATATATTAATGAATAATATATTCATAAAAACTCTTCCTTCAAAAAAATATATTCTGGCTATCCTCGCCCGGTCTCTGTCCCCCCTCCCCCACCCGTCCATATGTAGCTGCAGCAGAAGCCGGGGACATTCACAGTCCTGAGGGAAGACAGCAGGAACCCAGCGGCTAATGCTCAAGAGTTACACAGGTGACCTTGCTGACTGAGCGCTTGGTTGAATGACCCATCGCAACTTGATTTCTCAGTGAGATCACCTGCTCCCCAGTCTTTGCACCAGAGATCCCTTTCAGGCAGAGGATGGATTTCGAGTCCAGTGAGTCCAGCCCCACTGCTGAGTGCCCAGTGCCCGAGTGCCCAGGCTGGGCTGCACAGGCAAGTCCCAAGGGCCTTTCAGGGCCACGGTGAAGTCTCAGTTCTTGAGTGATGTCAGCAGAGGACCACAGGCACATTGGATCAGGGCATGTCCCTTGGAGACCCCAGAACGTTGAGAGACAAAGCTGCAACCTCCCAATTCCTATTTGCCAAGAGTGGCCATGGGAATGATTCGGAGATGGAAAAAAGTCAGGGAAAGGGTTGCAGGGTTAAAAATAATAATAATGATAATTAAGAGCCACCATTAAAAAGAAAATGAAAAGCAAAAGGTGGGAGAAACGAGGCTTCCATTTAAAATATTTTCTTCAAATTGTTCTAAGTCATGAGATGAGACTCCTTGTGTCCCGTTTTGCATATAAGACAACACCCATTGTTTGCCCCCCTCCGGGGGTTTCAATTTGAAATGAGATCGTGTTCCCTTTGATGGAAGTATCTAGACATCAAGGTAAATCGATTCAGTGAGAACACAAATGCTCAAGAATCCCAGGTTAAACCCAGGCGTTCCCACAACAGGTATTTCACAGTTGTTGAACGGCGACTGATAGCAATTGTATTAAGTATTCCTGGGGACTGTTTAGAAAAGCAGGAGCCTGTA